AAAGCCCGCCCTGACAATTTGATTGGATCGCCTGACAGTGGGCTTTAATACTCGCGCTACTATGGAGCAGAGCCAGACCGAACTTCCCCGAACTCAAACCTTGAGGGCAGGACTAAGTTCGGACTGGCACCCAGGCTAACAGGCATCATCAGTTCATCATTCTTCACCTTCACTGGACATGGATGTACTTTAGTATACTCTGCTGTAAAATCAGTCTTATCGAGCTACCTTGAGTTTCACAGCCCCTTCCTCACCAACCCTCTCCATTCATCTCCTGGTCGCAATCTTTACTCACTGTAAAAGCAACATCCACCTATTTTGTGAAGTTTTTTCCGTTCTTCCAGCAGCTCTTCTTTCCTTTTTCTTTTCTGGAATCAGCCTAAGTACATCATTTTGGTATCCATCATCGCTAACACATTGTACCTAACAGTTATGGTTTTAATCTACGCTCTGGATTAGCTGTAGTGTAAAAAATAAAACACTCAAATACATGGTTCTTTTAAGATCTTTAATGGGGTTTGAAAAACATTATATGAGTGTATTTTTTACCAACCGTTTAATCAATTATACACAGTTATTAAAATAGTAATTAAAAGTACCACGGTCTGCTTTGCTATTGGTGTGGTGTTTAAACGGCTCACCATCATGTTGAGATCTGCCATGTGTTGAGGTATAAATAAGGTCCGGTCAGTTATTTTAAAATCCGGTGGTTTTAAGAGGAATTTTTCACACCAATACAGACGTTCTAGTACACAATTGCGTAGGGGGCCAACCAGGTGTCAGAGACGGGGCCCCTAAGCAACTGCAGTCTCTGCTTACCGATAGTTACTCAATTGGCTTTAATCAGTATATAAAATAATTTTTGGGAAAATAGATTAGACCTATTAATTGAAATACAGCAAGTTCAAATTATGGATATTAGTGTTATATTTATTTGGGCACCAGCACATATAGGGACCAATGAAATTGCAGATAAGATGGCTAAGGAAGCATAAAAAAATAAAACAACTGATATGATGACTAACTTGAGTAAGACAGAAATGAAAAGTATCATTAAACAAAGGATGAAGGAAAGGTGGCAAAAACAATGGGAAGGAGAAAGGAGAGGAAGATGGTTTAATAGGATTCGACGTAAAGTCGAAGAAATGAGGATAGCAGGAGGAAGCAGAAGAGAGGAAACAGTTATTTCAAGACTCAAGATTTGGACAGGATTAAATAATACACTATTGAAAATGGGGAAACATGTCAGGCAAATGTGAATACTGTGGACAAGATGAAACATTAGTACATGTATTGTAAGAAGTATGAAGAAGAAGGAAGGAATTTGGCTAGAGACCTAAATAAGGATAAAGTTAAATTTGATGTGATGGATATTCTGCAGAAAAAGTAAAAAAAGATCAATATTTATCTAAATATTTAACAATAACAGGAATAATTAGGAAGATTTAGTATTTGTAAAGTAATATTATAGATATATAGATAAATAAAAATAAATATCTTTATGAATAGGGCCATTCTGATCCACACTCCTCACCAGTTGGTGGCAGTAATGCACAGAAAAGATGTTTGCCAACCGCCATTAAACCAAACAACAACACAAGAGAACCAATGTACGCTGAGGGGGGGCCAAAAGCAGATAGGCACCAGAACCTCAGGGCCTTTCTACACTGTTCCAACGGGAACATTAACGAGCAAAACATCCATATTTTCTAAATAAAGACAAACTATACTTTCCTACAGCCTTTGCTAACAAATAGGCGCATATATTATAGGTAAAAGGTATAATGAATAAAACTCAGTTTTGAGTTCTGGTGCGTAAATAAATCATCATTGTCATTACTTATCTACTGGTATCAATAAACATTCTGCATAAAATAATATTTACAAGCACTAATATTTGCATAAATTGATTATTTGACATGTTTTTATTAAAATTGTCATTTATCTTTGATTTCACTAAAGACTCCTAGATG